AGCATTCCAATAGATTACTGTATACTGACATACAGTAAGCCTCTCCCAAAAATTTTAGGGCATAGACTACGATTCGCACAAAATTACGCGATTGCAAAAAATTTGAAATCCGGGCTTTTGGTGCCGAACTTCTGTCCTCTATTCGCTTACGCTAGGAAATTCAAAAATCGTTGTGGATTAGTGTAAACTGGCATACAGTCTGTCTATCCTGAAACTTTCAAGGACTAGACTACGTTCCACACCAACTTACGCGATTGCAAAAATTTTGAAATCCCCGATTTTGGTGCTGAACTTTTTGCCCTCCATTTGCTTACGCCATCAATGCCGTGATTTTCGAAAGTCCCTAACGGCTTCCCAGATCCCCTAAGCGTTGTAGATCTATTGCGACGGAACAGCCCCCATTTTTTGGGTTGCGAAAGGTGATGCGGATCATTTTGAGGCGAGCGGCCTATCGTCTGCCCTCTCCTCTCCCCTCCCACTCTCTCTGCCCCCTCTCGTCTGCGCCTCTCCCCCCTCTCTCTCCCTCTCCCAAATCGAAGCCCCGCCCCCTTTCCAGCCAGAAGATCAGCACCAACATTCAGCCCCTCAAAAGGCCCTGTTTTTCGTGGGTTCCCGTATACAGGGTGGCCCGAAAGAGTGGTGACCGAAACTTTTTCGATTTTCTGAAAAACTATAGATCGAGGAAAGCTCATTTTAGCACATTATATTCCTTAAACAATTATCTTCCACATGGTATAACCACTTTTTTATTTGTTTGCCTCAAATTCGGAAAAACTGGCGGGGAAGCGGATGGAAAACGGAGGTGCTGGCACGCAGGCACTCAGCCCGAATTTGGCTCACAACTCGACGAAGACTTTTCCGAGCGACCCAAAATTGAATCGGGAGTAGCCAACACTTTCGCCTTTCAGTCCGGCTACACAAAAAACATTCTGCGGATTCGGGTTGGAGCTGCAGGATGGCTCTTTTGGCGAGCAAAAAACGGTTTGGTCAAAACCCTTAATAACGGGCCTCAGTCACTTGACCAAGTTGGAGGGTTCTGAGCCATAGCTGCACCACGAGCTTCACCGGAAACGTCAGGCACGCTCGTTAAAGAGATGGAAAAGGCATCGTTAAGTATTTTCATCCACAGGAATTTATTTTAGATTTTGTCGATTTCAAAAAATCCATGACTTTGAATTATGGAATTAAATTCCTAATGAAAAAGCTTGACTGCGTTGTGCGCTGAGCGTATGCTCAAATTTAGCCAACATCTATAGGAAACAGAATCCATAACCCCGCCTTGCCCAAACCCATAAGGGAACAGAGAAATTCTGTGTGCAAGCTGCGGTCACCACTCTTTCGGGCCACCCTGTAAAATCTTCTCCACCACCCCAGCTGACATACAATACGCAATTTGTACCTACTCGTACCCCGAGTTTTTGCTGGAAGGCGGCGCTACCGTACCCTATTTTCGGAATTTCCTTTTCCCGGAATTCCTATTTCGGATTTTTTCATCGAATTTATCTTGCTTGGAATACAGTATCTCCGTTTCCGAATTTTCGTGATTTTCCAACCGATTTAAGTAGCGTAATCGATTAGAATTTCGAATTCTGGGCCCCCGTAGCCTTGCGGAATTTCGAATTTTTCCAGTTTCGTATTTCGAATTTAATGAGTTTTTAAAGGCGCTTTCGATGACGTAATTGTTATAAAAATGCTGCATACTTTAATACCGTATTCCATTAAAAATCAGAGATTTTCCAATCTTTTTTTGGGGCTGCTTTCCAAAAATTCCATTTTTTGCGCGTTTTAAATTTTATAAATTCAAAACTACCGTATATCTGTCCGTTGGGTTTTGTTGTACTACAATAAGCAGTTTTAGGGCTATCATAACCCTCTATTTTAGAGAATTGCCGAAAACTTTGCGATTTGCAGGATTTTTGGAGCTGTCAGGCCCCTTTAAAACGAATTTTATAAGAGTTAATATTTTAAATTTATTTCTTTATCAACCAGTTTAAATTCTAGTTAAATTTGACCATTTTGAATTCATAAACATTTTTTTACTTTTTAAAACCTTTGAATTCCTAGATTTTTTACATTTTGGAAAATTTTGCTGTCACGCTCCCTTTAAATCCAATTTTTGTGCGTTAATTTTTCTATTTTCTTGTTTGCTTCTCGCCAGCTTAATAAATGTTAAATATCCTAGTTCAAAATTTTCAGAAAGAATGCAACCAATCCGTTTCAAACTGTTCCACGGCGGCTCGTCGGCCCGTCGTTTCCGGTTGACAGAACCGGCCGATGATGCGAAGAAGCTCTACAAACAGCTGACCGAAAAGATGACCCAAATGGGTATCGACGCGAAGGCGCTGCGATGGATCGATGCGCAGGGAGACAAGGTGGGTACGATAGGGGGTACGGTAGCTTCCGGAGATCCGGTAGATACGGTAGCCAAACGTCGAAAACGCCGTCATCTCGATCAGGTAAGGTTTACTGGACGCCGGCTTAGCGATTAGTCGATTTTTCGAAATCATAGTGTAGTTATTTTTGGACCTGAACTCCTTGAAGTAGTGGCGGGACCCGATTTCGGCTCAATTTCGTAAATTCCGGAATTTTGCGATTTTTAACTAGCGGATCGGATTTACTGTAGGCCAGCTTAGCGATTAGTTTATTTTTGGAATTACCTTGGGTTGAATTTGGCTCCTGAACTCCTTCAAGTCGTTGGAGGACCCGATTTTGGCTCAAATTGGAAAATCCAGTCATTTTCAGTCTGCCAAGTTTACCATAAATTTTAGATCAAATGCACAACCCCGGCCGATCTGCAGGAGGCGCTGTTCTGTTCCGGCGGCGAGGAGATGACCCTGTACGCCAAGAAGCAGAAGAAGGACGGACTTCAAGGAGTTCAGGAGGAGGATTCTGACTCGTCCGAATCTTCGGAATCCGACTCCGAAAGCGATTCCGACGACAGCAGCGAGTCGTCGGATTCTGAGGAGAGCGACGACGACGCCCCGGAGATGATCAAGGCGCCGAAAGAGGAGGAGGGACCTGAGGGAGAGATGTGGACCGACGAGGCGGAAGAGGTGGAAAGGGGCGACATGGAGGACGAGGGCATCATGGCGGAGGTGGACACCATCATGGAGGACATCATGGCGGCGGACATCACCATGGTGGTCATCACCCGCCTGGTCCTCATCATCATCATGGACGACATGGTGGGCATGGTGGAAAGGGTGGAAAGGGCGGAAAGTGCCATCCACGTCCGTTCTTCGCCATCTGCTACCCCATCCCGCCCCCCACATCACCGAGGAGGAAAAGGAGGTGAGGAAATCGTGCTGATTTTTTGGGTTTTATCAAAAACAAAGTTTTCGAATAAAAAAACGCTTACTGGCTGTCAATTTAGCGATTCTTTTTGTCAATTTTTCAAAATCATAGTGTAGTTAATTTTGGCCCTGAACTCCTTGAAGTCGGTGTGGGACTCATGTTTCGAGAATTCCGGAATTTTTGTAGATTTTTCTAGCAGATCGGGTCTACTGTATCCCAGCTTAGCGACCAATGCACTTTGTCAATTTTTCCTGTGCTAAATCTGGGCCCTGAACTCCTTGAAGTCGTTGTGAGACTTGCTTTCACAAATTTCGAAAATCCAGCAATTTTTAATTTTCTAAAAATTGAATTCTGTTTGCTGGCTGCCAGTTAACGTATTTAGCTAACCAAAAAACTAAACTCCTTGAAGTCGTTATGGTTTAGGCATTTTTTCCAGAACATTTTTAAAATTTTATTTTTCTCCTTTTTCAGGCCACGGCGGACATCACGGCGGCCCACCCCGCCCTCATCACGGAGGAGGTCACGGAGGACACCACGGAGGGCATGGACCCTTCCCGCCCCCACCCCACCATGGCGGACATCACCACGGAGGTCACGGCCCGTTCCCCCCGCCTCACCATGGAGGACATCATCACCACGGAGGTCACGGCCCCTTCCCTCCCCCTCATCATGGAGGAGGTCACGGCAAGCATGGTCACGGCCCCAACGAGTCCGACACCGGCAGCTCTGAATTTGAGTGCTGCTCCGTCCGCTCGGGCATGCCGATGCCGCCACCCCCGATGCAACCGGCTGAACTCCCCCAACTTGATGCCGCCCTCCAGGGGATCAACTTGGGCGGACCACAACGCCGCCGCCACCACAAGAAGCACCACCATCATCACCACCCACCGATGTGAATTGTACTCCTTGTACTTGCTGTTCTCCTACTTTTGAACCTGTTGAAGACGTGTGGGCCCTAAAAATTAGAAAAATGTTAAAAGTTGATTTTTCCGGTTTTGGCCCCAAAAAATCGAAAAAAATGTTCTCATTTCCATCTCACTCTTCTCTCCTCCATTTTTTACCGCTTTTTTTGGTTTGTAAGCTCCAAAAAAATCCGAAAAAAATTACGGTAACCTTCCTAATTGTCATTTTTTATTTTCTGATTTATCTACAGTACCCCAATGTATTTTTCGCCCCGAAACCCGTTGATAGTCACCCGGTGTATATAAATAAATTGTAGTGAAAAAATTGAGAGTTTACATCGCAATACAAAATACAAAAATACACATCATGGAAAATGGGTTTTTCGTTACAGCAACACAGCTAAATGTCATTTTTGCATGCCAGAAAGAACAAAAATACAGACGGAATTGAAAAACATTGCAAAATATTGAAAAATTCGGGGCCCGGCCTGACGTGGCCAATTGGTAGTGCGCTGGGCTGACACCCACCCGACCCGGGTTCAAATCCCCGGCGCGCCAAACATTTTGCTTTTTGGGAATAGGCAATCTGGCAAACACGCAGCCTATTCCATTGTAGCACAGACTACAGACTACAGCTTTTCAACCCGTACGACTCAGGTTCGCGCGCCGACCGGGCCTATCTGTTTGCTTTTAGGGATTAGGGCCCGGATTTTTATGAGAGTCTCTAAACTGATAGCCAGACTACAAAATACAAACGATAGACTGCAATTTGAAGCTAAAATTTTGAAATGGTTTTAATTCTAGGGTGCCGCTGAAGCCGGCTGAAGCATCCGCTGCCAGAGATGCCCTCGCAAAGGCCATCTACTCGAGACTGTTCGACTGGATTGTGGCTACGATTAATAAGTAAAGCGAGAGAGACAGAGAGACAGAGAGCGAGAGGGAGAGAGTGAGAGCGAGAGAGCTATAGAGAGAGAGAGAGAGCTATAGAGAGAGAGAGAGCGAATGAGACAGAGAGCGAGAGAGAACGTGAGAGAGTGAGAGAGAGAGAGTGAGAGAGAGGGCGCGAGCGCGAGAGAGAGAGCAAGCTAGCAGAGATCTTTTGGGAATTCTCCTGTTCTAGCCACTTTAAAACCATCGTTTTTAGGAGCATCCCGTTCACCAATTCTCACAACTACATTGGCGTGCTGGATATTGCCGGATTTGGTACGGTAATTTCGGCCTATTTGTCATTTTTTGATTTTTCTGAAACTTTTCACGACGACCGGTCCCTTTAAAACTAAAAAAAATCCTAATTTTTTGGTTTTTTCTCAGAATACTTCACGATCAACTCGTTCGAGCAGTTCTGCATCAACTACTGCAACGAGAAACTGCAGAATTTCTTCAACGAGAGAATTCTGAAGGAAGAACAGGAATTGTATGCAAAAGAGGGACTCGGGGTGGACAGGATCGAATTTGCTGACAATCAGGATTGTATTGGTGGGTTGAGAGGTCATAGCCAGCTTGCCTATCTAACTGCCACGATGCCTTTAATACGCTGAAATTCGTCAAAAATTTCTGCTAGCTTGCCCTGCTACCTGTCACGCTCCCTTTAAAACCCAAAAATCCCCCAAAATCGCCGCTAGCCTGCCCTGCTGCATGTCACGCTGCCTTTAAAACGTCAAAATGCCGCACATGATCTATTGTAGCTTGCCCTGCTAGCTGTCACGCTCCCTTTAAAAAGCTGAGATTTCCCAAAGGAACTCTGCTAGTTGTCATAGGCCAAGAAACCATTTTTCCGCAAATTGTCCCTGCTAGCCTGCCTTGCTTGTTGTCACGCTCCCTTTAAAACGTCAAAATTCCGCAAATGATCTATAGTAGCTTGCCCTGCTAGCTGTCGCACTCCCTTTAAAAAGCTGAGATTCCACAAATGGTTTTTGCAAGCTGCCAAAAAGCCATTTTTCCGCAAACTCTCTCTGCCGGCCTACCAGATTAGGTGTCGCTCTCCCTTTAAAACGCTAAAATCCGCAAATAATGGCTGCTAGCTGGCCAGCTTGAATTTAATTAGGCCTTTCTACCAAGGAAAGCAGGTTTTTTTCCACAAATTCTCCTGGCTAGATTGCCCTGCTAGCTGTCACCCTCCCTTTAAAGCAGCTTATTTTTCACCAATCGCTCTTCGGCAAAATTAAAGGGAGCGTGCCAGCTGGAAAACTCTTGAAATGCCAAAAAAGCAGCGGATTTCAATTTTCCCACTAAAAAAATAAAAAACTCGATTTTCAGATCTGTTCGAGAAGAAGGGGAGTGGAATGCTGGATCTGCTGGATGAAGAGATGAGGCTCCCCAAGCCACTCTCCGCCCATTTCACCCAAAACGTACACCAAGCTAATCAGAAGCATTTTCGGCTGGATGTAAGGAGTTTTGTCTCTCGCTCTCTCTCTCTCTCTCTCTCTCTCTCTCTCTCTCTCTCTCTCTCTCTCTCTCTCTCTCTCTCTCTCTCTCTCTCTCTACCCTTTTCTCGCTCTCTCTATCTCTCTCCCTCTCTCTCTCTCTCTCTCTCTCTCTCTCTCTCTCTCTCTCTCTCTCTCTCCTTTTGGCCGAATATTACACGAATTTTTGGGTTGCAGACGCCCCGAAAATCCCTGCTAAAGGAGCATCGCGGAATGCGAGACGAAGACGGCCTTCTCGTCCGCCATTTTGCCGGTACCGTATGCTATCAAACGGCCGGTTTCCTCGAAAAGAATAACGACGCCTTGCACGCGTCGTTGGAAGCTGTAATGGAGATGAGCGAGTATGGCTAGACTCTGTGACAGACAGCTTAGCTTTTTAGAATGCCGGTGATGAAGCTGCTCTTCGCGCCGCCTGCGACATCTGAGGCAACAGTGCCAAGTCGTACCCGCCTGATCGTTCCCTCCGTTGGCTCCAAATTCCGCTCGCAACTCGCGCAGCTCATCGAGAAATTGGCATTAACGGTCAGTGAGGAAGACGAGAAACACGAATTATGCACCTTAATCGATTTCTCCGAAACTAAAATCGCCAAAAAATCGGAATTTTCAAATATTAGCCATTTTTCGGCTTTCCGATCAGAATCTCGAATTATAAAATCTCGAATGACAAAATCTCGAATGATTAGAATCTCGAATGATCAGAATCTCGAATGATTAGAATCTCGAACGATCAGAATCTCGAATTTACAAAATCTCGAATGACAGAATCTCGAATGACAATATCTCGAACGATCAGAATCTCGAACGATCAAAATTTCGATCCAGCAGAACACAGTTTGGATGAAAATTTCCACTAATGGCCTAGTAATTGAACCCAAAGTTTTTCTATGGAGGTTTTGGCAATCAACAGCTGTAGCAACACTATCTAAAAGTTAAAGACTTCAAGAATGGAGCTCTTTGCGTCGAAAAAAAAATTTTTTCGACTCAACGCTAATGTTCTTCATTATCATTTGTAAAGCGTGATGCTCAAAAAGGACCATGCCTCGGCAGGGCATACTCACAGCCTACTAGCTTCTATCTAATACAAAAAAAATCGATGCTGGATCGAGCCAGACGAAACTAGATTAGGATATCAGTGGGAATCCTGGCATTCGAGATTAGTTCATTCGAGATTTTGACCATTCGAGGTTTTGTCATTCGAGATTCTGTCATTCGAGATTTTGTAAATTCGAGATTCTGATCGTTCGAGATTCTAATCATTCGAGATATTGTCATTCGAGATTTTGTAATTCGAGATTCTGTCGATTTACCATTTTTCGGTATGGGCAGGCTAGCACCGATTTTTTGTGGAATTCGGAGCTCGAAAAATGAGAGATTCTAAACTGACAGTCAATGAACATTTCAGGGCACTCATTTCGTCCGTTGCGTCAAACCGAACGCCACAATGTCCCCGTGGAAATTCGATGGCGCGGCCGTGTTGGGGCAATTGAGATGTGCTGGAATGGGGGCGGTGTTGCGGTTGATGCATTCTGGCTATCCATCCCGGTAAGCTGTTTCGTTTACCTCGCGTAATCGGTTACTCTGACCGCATTACGAGGCGTAATCGATTGACGATGATTACCTGTCATAATCGTTTTGCTAAATGATTAGATGGCGTGACCTAAGCGTCGTCAGTAATTATCTGGCGTAATCGATTGACCATAAATGGCTGGTGTAAGCGATTGGCAAGGCGTCCGGTCACTACCCCGAAAAGTCACTACCCCGAAAAATGATAGCATTGTTTTTCCCGGAAAAATCCAGTTTTCATGCGGTTTTCCTATGAAAATCATGCAAATTATTTCGGGATAGTGACTTTTCGGGGTAGCGACTTTACCCCGATTGGCAATAATTACCTGGCGTAATCGATGCTGATTTGCCTGTCCCTTTAAAACCTCAAAAATCAACGTTTTTGGTTCAGGACCGGCTTCAAGGAGCTGTACGACATGTATTCGGCGGTGTTACCTCCTGAATTGGCTCGACTCGATCCACGGCTGTTCTGCAAGGTGCGGATGGGTATGATGGCTGTCAGTTGACGATTTCAGGCTCGAATTACCGAGTAATTCAAATCGCTAAGCCATTTTCAGTGTCTTTTCCGTGTCCTTGGCCTGAACACGACCGACTTCAAATTCGGCCTCACCAAGGTCTTCTTCCGGCCGGCAAAATTTGCCGAATTCGATCAGGTACCGTGATTTGAAGGGGCAGGCTAGCAGAGATCATTGCGGAATCGAGAATTAAATGGCGTAATCCAATCGAATTGACGTTTTTTCCATGCTGCCGTTTTTGGGATGTATTTTGTAGTCTAAATTGGATGGCAGGCTAGCAGAGATCATTGAGGAATTTGACCCTACCTCCCGTTTTTTTCAGCTCCTTCGCCAAGACCCGGCAGCAATGGCAATACTCGTGTCAAAAGTGAAGAAATGGCTGATTGGCGTCCGGTGGAGGAAGGCACAATATGGAGCGTGGAGTGTTATTAAATGTTGGTTTTTCGCTCGCCTTTCCCTCTCTCCCTCCCTCTCTCTCTTTCCCTCTCTCTCTCTCTCTCTCTCTCTCTCTCTCTCTCTCTCTTTCTTTCTATCTCTCTCGCTCTCTCTCTGTCTCTCGCTCTCTCTCACTCTCTCTATCTCTTTTGCTCTCTCTGACCCACCTTCTAGACAAACTCAGGAACCAAACTTTCGAAAAAAAATTAATCCGGAAGCGCGTGATTTCCTGAAGACCAAAACCAAAAAGATGGCCGGAAATCTTCACGTTCGCTAACCACAATTTTATCAACGTGTTAGATGGATAGAAGCCTGCTGATTTCAAAATACAGCGCATCCCTTTTTGCCAGAAACGGAACGGGGGGTATCGGATTGTTTGCCGGGGGAGAGGAAATGGAATTTCGTTCCGTTCTGGGGGGCAGTTATCCAATTTTTCGAAGGGAAGGGGGAGGCTCGTTTTCAGGAAAGAAACGGATTCCCCTTTTTCTTCCAGAATCCCGCTGAGTTTCGCGATTTTTTGCTGAAAAATACGTTTTTTTACTTAACTTTTATCATTTTTCATTTCTAATGCCCAACTCTGCAACCGTAATCATCCCTTAAAAAAGGATTTCGGTTTTAAAAAAAACTTAAAAATCCGTGATTTCAGTGAAAAACAAGATCGTCTGGCGTGGAGATCAACTGAGGACGATACAACGATACGCTAGGGGATATTTGACACGACAGAAGTTATTGCCGAGGTATAGTTTGGCAGAGAGAGAGAGAGAGAGAGAGAGAGAGAGAGAGAGAGATAGAGAGAGAAGAGAGGGAGAGTGACGGAGCGATAACCGTATCAATTACCCATCGTAATCAATTTTATACGACATTCTGAATTAACTGTCGTAATCGATTGTTAATGATCCATTTTTACGCTGGCGTAATCGATTATTTGAGCACTACGCGTTGCGTGTCGCGTTACCAGCACGTTGCGTGTCGCGTCGCGTACGCATCATGTGCCGTGGGACGTGTCGCGTAAAGTGCGCGTCGCGTCGCTTCGCGGCCCTTTTCCAATGGACCCCGTCGAGCAGCCATGAATTCGAATAACTCCGGCGTTGCGTTGCGTGTCGCGGTGCGTATCGCATCCAAAAGACCCCTGCTATTTGGCCAAAGCTCAAAACACCGCAAATCATCTCGATAAGGTTTTTTTGGCAAAAACGGCCATGATTTGGCCAATCTGGCGGTGGGGAAGAGAGGATTATATTGGCCTCTCTCCCTCCCACCTCATCTGCCCCTTTTCCTCTAAGAGAAACATCCCCCTCCACGGGCCATTCCATTCCTCTTTTCCTTCCCCTCCACACCCAAATTAGTAGGCCCCAGCTTCTCCTTTCTCTCTTCAAAATGAGAAGCCGCTCACCGGAAGCACTGCCTATCCATTTTTTGGTGCTATTTCTCATTTTCTTTGTACCCTCCATTGTTTTTCACCATTTTTGGCGAGCTAACTGTTTTCCGTAAAGAATCTCTGCTAATATGCCCTCCAAAAATGTCCTGATTTTCCTTAAAGAATTCTTGAAAACGTCTGTTCGATGCTCGATTGGCCTTATCTTCCGCAAAGAATCTTTGCTAGCCTGATCGCCCGATCAAATTGCCGCGCTTTTTACTCTGTTTTCCATTGGTTTTCGAAATTTTAGGGATATCTTGCTTCGGGCAAATTCCCTAAGAATCTCTGCTAGCCCGCCAGATCTATTCCGCAAAGAACCGCTGCTAGCTAGCCGGCCGCCTAGATCTGGTTTTTTCCTTTTCTTCGGCCTTCTTAATTTTTGGATACCAGTTGCCTAAGAATTCACTAGGAATCTCCGCTCGCTTGCCAGGGCATTTCCTAGAAAATCTCTGCTCGCTTGCCCATCCCATCAAATAATCTCTGCTAGCCTGCTTGAATTTTGTAAATGGTCTCTGCTAGCAGGCCACTGAATCGAATGGTAGCTAATATGCTTGCAGGGTCACTGGTAGCCTGCCTAGCCGGATTCCACAAAGATTTTACTAGCTTTCCTTCAAAATATCCTTTCTCCTCATTTTCCCCAAAGAAACTCTGCTGGATTGCCACCTAAAAACCCAATCAAGCTGATTTTCGGCAAAGAATCGTTGCTAGACGGCCTCGGAAACGTTGGAAGGCCCCTCTCAGCCCCATTCCTTAATTGTTTACCGACGATAGCTAGCGTCCGTGCACCCTGAATTGAATTGCCCCTTTCTAGGTGTTTCTAGCTGTTTTTAGCTATTTTCTCTCCAGATCAGCTTTTAGGGTTTCGATCTAATTTTAACTGGGCTTGTTTTTTGTGAAAAAATGCGAAATTTCCGCCCGGATTACGGTAGATTTTTTCCACATTTTTTGTAACGTTTATTGTTAATTTTTTAATACTACGTTTGCTATGAAATTACGGTAACGCCTCAACCCTAAAAAATAAATTATCCAAATTTTTTCAAGTTAAATTTTTTTGAAAAAAAAACGGTGATTTTCCGCGTGATTCCTCTTGACGTCTGGGCGTACTGTAGCTAGTTACCATATGCGGCAATTTTGCCTTGCCGATTCTTTTAAAGGGGACGTGACAGCTACTTATCGCCTTATAAAAGCGATTGCATGGCGTAATCGATTGAAAAGCGATTTAAAGGGAAGGTGACAGCAAGTCAGGTTCGAATTTGACGTCGTAATTGGTTCAAAATCCGTATGAATTCCTCGATCCTGAAATTAGGTGGCGTATTCGATTACAACATCTATTTAAAGGGGAGGTATCAGTTACGATTTCAGAATTAATTGTCGTAACCGGATCAAAAAGTGATTTAAAAGACGAATCTTCCGTTTTTTTTCCGAATTGTGCCGGCAATTGGAGTCGCCTTATTAATGCCATTACATGACGTAATCGATTGAGAAAGCGCTTTAAAGGGAGAGTGACAGCAAGTTTTGGGCGAATTTGACGTCGTAACCGGAGCGAAAAGCGGTTCTAAAGCGAATTTTTCCGTTTTTTTCCGGCTTGTGCCGGCAGTAAATTTGCAGGCGCAGATTTCTTGCGGGGAAGCGGATAATTGGTGGTCTCTCTCCCCTAGAGCCAGCGGCATATTTTATCTCCACATTTTTTCCGCCGTCCATCATTCAACAGGAAAGACCCAACCGGGCAACCCAAAAAGCCCCCCGCATTTCTGGGGGGAAAATCGGCAAACTGGATTGGCAGGACAAGGGAAAATTACGGTAGCTCAGTTGCCCGATTTTTGCCATATTTCCCGAGACTACTAAAATGAGATTCCGTTAGGATAATGTAAATTACAGTATACCAATTTGTAGAGCTTCATTTCCTCTTTCGAATCGTCAATCCTGGGCAAGCTAGTAAAAAAACCTTAAGGAGTTTAAAGGGACTGTGACAGGAAATTCTCGTTCCGGCAAGCTACCAGAGATCCTTGAGTTTTGCGAGATTTTTGCAAGCCTTTTGTCCGATTTTTCGACTGGTTCCTTACCTCGCGCCCACCCGCTAACCACCCAATTCCCATGCATTTTATGGCAAACGGGGAGGTCCCGGAACGACCTGTGGAAACGAGGGCGTGAGAGGGAGAGAGAGAGAGAGAGAGAGAGAGAGAGAGAGAGAGAGAGTGAGTGAGTGAGAGAGAGAGGAGAGAGAAAGAGCGAGGCAGAGAAAGTCGTTCCGGGACCAAAACCCCACCCAACCAACCATTTTCCAGGCTTTTTCCACTTGCCAATTTCTAAAGGGACCGGAAAGTCAGGGTGTCAACTAGCCAAGATCCTTTGGGAAAGCACAGCTTGACTTCTCGAGCCCTTTAAAGCGACCTTTGGGTGGCAGTTAAGGTTTTCCGGGGGTTTTCCGCGCCTCTCTCGATCGATTACGACGTGTAATTAGCATAAAAAAGCTCAGAAAACAGCTTACGACAGGAAATTAAAATGAGCTTAGAAAGAATCGATCACGATAGTTAATTAGGAGCTCAGAGATAATCGATTACGCAAGGTAATTCCGAAGAATATTGATACTTTATGCTAGCCAAAAACCAGCTCGGAATTATCGATTACGAGATGTAATCCACGCGATTCTCTCCCGTCCCGGTGCCTTTAAAGCTCAAATTTCTCAAAGATACTCGATTACGCGAATTAATTACGAAAAATCTTAATCAATTACGCCATCCAAAAACCATCTCGAAAAAAACCGATTACGATATGTATTTCATGCGATTCTCTCCCTTCCCGGTGCCTCTAAAGCTCAACTCCCCGATTTTCAGGTTATCCCTCTACCGTAAGATCGTGGCGCTGAAGAAGAGAGGCGCCGAGATGCAGAGTATCGTCGAGAAGCTGGGCCCGAATTCGAAGGATGGATGGGGAAAAGAAGTCGATTCCACGCAGCAAAATATCATTCAATTGCTCTATCAATGCAAGGTAAGGCGTACTATCGATTTTCCGCGACACGCAACGTGCACGCTACGCTTGTCCCTCGTAAAGGCGTCGTAATCGATTAGACGATGGAAATGCTTAAATGCTATACTCGGAATTAGATTCCTCTCGTTTTTTCCCGCGACACGCGACGCGCGCGCTCCGTTTGACCACCTTGAACGTGTCGTAATCGATTACGCAACGGAATCATTTTAAAGGGAAGGCGACAGGTGCCAGGGCAGGCTAGCAGAGACCATTTGCGTTTCGTTGCGTTCAATTGCGTAATCGATTACAACATCATTAGAGGGGAGGACAAGCGCTGCGTGCGCGACGCGTGGCGCGGCGCTGAAAAATCGATACTCCGGCCCATGTCTCATTTTAAAGGGACGGCGACAGGTGCCAGGGCAGGCCAGCGGAGCTCATTTGCGTAATTTTTCTTGGCCAATGGGCAAACTGGCAACCAACTTGAATTTTGGAGGGGCAAACTAGCAGTGTTTTTTGGGAAATTCCACTATTCTCTCTTTAAGCCCCAATTTCCGGGGGCCGTTAATTCCCCACAGGCGTTTCATTGCCCCCCAGCGGTGTGTGGCGTCATCTGGAGCGTCTGTCTGTCTCTCTCTCTCTCTCTCTCTCTCTCTCTCTCTCTCTCGCTCGCTCTCTCTCTCTCTCTCGCTCTCTCTCCCTTCCGTTCGTTCCGTGATCATTATTTAAGGTCTGAATTGCCCCCCTCCTCCTCTAATTCCATTTCCACACCCACCCACCCCCCTCTCCCATCCCCAATCGGGCCCTCCGAATAGGGCGAACGGCCCCTCACGGCCACAGCTTCTACTGACTGAATGCCAGTAGACATGTCTGCCATCCGGTTTACGCGAATTCGACGTTTTTTGCGATAAAGACCATGTTTTTAGCATTTACTCGCATGGCCCTCCGTTTAAGCGAATAAAATCATATCCCTAAAGGGACTGGCAAGGCATTGATATATCCAAACTGGCAGCCAGTCGACAGGTTGCTAGGCCTTTGATCGACTTTTTTGAAAATGTCGAAATTCATAATGTTGAAATTTCATAGTGTCGAAATTCAGGTGGTCGAAGTTTACAGAAGCTGAGAATCCCGGGAGCCCCGAATCCTAGTTAACGACACGATTATATCAAATCCCTTTAATCGAGTGGCATCATTTCGGTTGTTTCTCGGGGCAGGTTTTGGGCTTTGAGTGAGTAGAGCGAGAGAGAGAGAGAGGAGGAGGAGGAGTGATATTCTGGGTCCCAAGGGGGGAATGGAAGGCCATATCTCCACTAGCTGGCTATTCCTGGAAAGAAGGTCATGGCAGGCTGTTCTTTTCCTGGGCTAAGTTTCAGATTTGCAGGCGAGCGAGAGCGAGAGAGAGAGAGAGAGAGAGAGAGTGAGAGAGAGAGTAAGAGAGAGAGAGAGAGTGAGAGCGACCAAAAACCCCTGGATTGCCCCCTGTGAGTCAAGGTGGCCTCCTCCTCTTCTCCTTCTTCTTCTCCTCCCTCCTTTTAGGGTCCCTAATTGAAAGTTTTCCCCTGCCTTCCGCAGCCCCCCAAAAACCCTCATTCTCCTAAAGCTTTTCCCCCGGTTTTTCCCTGCTTCTCCTTCGATTAGTAAAAGTGGAATTTGGAGCGTAACGTACTCGAACATTCCGCCGATATTTCTGGCGTAATCGATGGCGTCTACCGGTTTAACTGGCGTAATTGATTAGTAAACCAGCGCCCAAAACCCGCTTCGCGGGCCTTGGGCCCTGGTATGCGGCCTTTGCATAAGAAATTTGACTTTCCGATAGCTTGGGTCCTTCGGACCCCTCCCCCCGGCCGACCACAGCGCGCGTGCAACTTGCAAGAATGAAGAAATTTCTATTTTTTCACATTATGCAAATTACCCTCAAAAATCAGTAAAACCGGCTTTAACTTTTTAAACTTGTATTTTATCAAAATTCTGAAAGCGCCATTGGAAACAGAAGGGTCGATTTCCCCAAGTCATGGAGAATTAGAGCATTTTATGCACGAGAAGGCCCTCAAATCGGGCCTCCAAACTGACATCCACACACACACACACACACACACACACACAGTTACACGCCAAAATTATATAAGGTAGGATTTTGCGATTTTCCTGGCGTAATAGCAGCCAATTCCTCGATTTTCAGAAACGCGAAATGGAGCTGGACGCATGTGCAAAGAATTATGAAGAATGCTTGCGACGCGTCGACAAAATCATTAATGCGCTGAGGTACGGTATCTCCTGGGTTTAATTTGCCATTTGCAGGGGTCAAATGGCGGCTGATGAAGCGGATAGACTGGCCAGGATTGAACGCCAAATTAAAATGGATCGGGAGAGAGAGAGGAGAGGGAAAAGATTGAGGAGCGGAAGAATATCGAAATGAGGGAAGAAAATGAGAACCGGTGGGTGTAATCATTGCGTAATCGATTACGCCCTATTAAAGGTGTCGTGACAGCGGTTTTCACGCCGGGGCAGGATAGCAGAAATCATTAGGGAATTGGCATGTTGCCCGAAAAGGGGCGGGGTCTAAATTTTTGCCCTCAGCGGTCCTTTAAAGGTGACGTGACATCAATTTTAGCGGCGAGGCAGGCTAGCAGAGACCATTAGTGATTTGGTTGGAAGCCAGAAAGAGGCGGGGCCTAAATTCTTGCCTTCAATGGTCCTTTAAAGGTGGGGTGACATCGATTTTAGCGGTGTGGCAGGCTAGCAGAGACTTTCAGACTTTTGGCTGGTTGCCAGAAAAGGGCGGGGCCTAAATTCTTGCCTTCAGCGGTCCTTTAACCCCCGAAATTCAGGCGCCGCGAGATGGAGGAGGAGCGACAAAGGGCGGAGAAGACGGCAATGGATGAAATGAAGAAGAGAGCTGTCAGGGAAGAACAAGAGAGAATGGACGCATTAATGGCAGCCAGAATGGAAGAACAAGAGAGATTGGATGGACAGCTGGCTGGCAGATTGGCTGCTGAAAAGGGAGGAGATGCCACCCTCATACAACAACAAATCACATCCGCATCATCGTCTTATAGGTGAGGGGAAGGGATGGATTGCAGAGATCATTTGGGGAATCGGCAGTGTGGATGGCAGTTTGATCGGTTTTAAAGGGGCAGGCTAGCAGAAATGTTTTTCGGAAAGTTACAGACGAAAAAGTGGCCAAAAACCGGTTATCGGCAAAAACTGGCAAAAAAGGCAAAATTTCAGTTCTTCGACGTCATCTGGTAACAATAACGACAGGAGGAATTCGAAATACGATCTGTCATCATGGAAATATGCAGAACTACGCGATACTATCAACACATCGAATGGTAGAGATCTCTCTCTCACTCTCTCTCTCTCTCTGTCTCTCTCGCTCTCCATCTCTCTCCCCCTCTCTCCCTCTCTCTCTCTCTCTCTCACACTCTCGCTCTCTTTTTCGTTCTCTCTCTCTATCTCTCTCTTCCCCCTTCCAACCGCCTCCCATTTCCAGATATGGATCTTCTACTGGCGTGTAAAGAGGAATTCCACCGTCGTCTCCGCTATTTCAATGCGTGGAAACAGAAGAACCAGTGGGTTTTTGGTCCAATACCTGTCGTAATCTATTCAATTAACTATTGCCATCGATTCAATTCCCTATCGTAATTGGAGGAATTTCCTACCGTAATTTATTAGGTAGAAACAGCGGAATTCCGTATCCTAATCTATTGAATTAGCTATCGTAAACGTCTGAATTCCCTATCGTAATCTATTGGCCAGAAAGGGCGCCATTACCAATCGTAATCTGTTGAATTCCCTCTCGTAATGGCTTGATTGCAGTTTACCCCCAGCCGATCCCCACCTACTGTATCTCGGCTCCCTGTTCATCTACAGGTGTGTAACCTATACCAAAATGTTCGTCTTGCTCTGGCGAGTATTTTGGTATACTTTACACACCTGTAGATGAACAGGGAGCCGAGATACGGTGGTCGGGGGTCGGCTGGGGGGGACTGCACTCTAACCCTCGCGATCGATAATATTAGCTGCCGTAATTCGCTAATTTTACTATCGTAATTTCCGAAATTACCTATCGTAATCGATTAGCCCCCTCACTCGATATTTTTTTCAGAACGGACAAAGAGAAGGCAGAAGATGCTCGTCGTATCCCTCTGTCCCTAATGAATACGAGCCCATTCCCCCCTCCCCCCTCATTCTCTTCTCTCTCTTCATCATGGCCATCTACAGCCTCCTCCTCATCTTCTCTTTCTTCATCCACTCGTGCTCCTCTATTAAATGCCGCTCTCACCCATCAGCGCTATTTCAAAGTCCCGTTCAACGCGAGATGCGGCCAGAAAACCATACCGGCAGGTACGATTCTAAACTTAAAAATCTAAGCAAACCCCCTCAATAATTACCTGGCGTAATCGGTTTTAATCATCAGCTTTTCGGTGGAGCTCAATTAAAATTATGCTGAAAACGAACTACGTGGCGTAATTGGTTCTTCATCAACGAATTTCATGTCGTAATTCGGCCCAAATTCGACTAAAATCAGCGGAAAGCCGATAACCAGTCGTAATCGATTGCTGATAATTTAATTTCCTATCGTAGTCGCTCAAAATCCTGCTTAAAAACTGTTGAAATCGACTTACCTAGCGTAATCGATTCCCTAAAGCACGAATTGCATGTCGTAATTCGGCCCAAAATCGCCTAAAATCAGCTGAAAGTCAATTACCAGACGTAATCGATTCCTGAGGCGGGAATTCGCAATCGTAATCGTTAAAAACCAGTCAAAAATTGCTTAAATCGAATTACCTCGCGCAATCGACTCCCCAGAGCTCGATTTTTCACCTCGTAATTTGGCTAAAATTTGCCGGAAGTAGGTTACGTCACGTAACCGGTTCCTGAGGCTTGAATTTCCTATCGTAATCGATTGGCATTCGCCTAAAAATAGTGCAATTTGAATTAGCTGGTAATAGATTAGACGTCAGAAAATTCGCGGAGACGAATTACGTGGCGTAAGTGGTTTTTCATCAACGAATTTCCTGTCGTAATTCAGCCCAATCTTGCCTAAACCCATGGAACCCCGAATTTCGTACCGTAATCGCTAAAAAATCATCAAAAATGCTGATCGTCGGGTCCGAATTTCACAGGGTAATCGATTAAACCGCTGATTTGTTGCAGGTGAAAACACGGAATATGGAAGTGGTCAACAGGGAATGTGGTACGGCCATTTCAACGGACAATGGGTACAACGACAAATCGAACTCCATCCCGACAGACAGCCACTACTTTTCATTGCTGGTAAGGAAGCTGACAGCCCCCCCCCGCTAACAGCTCAGTACCTTTCGTAGAAATTACTAATGCTTACAAGAATATTTTTGTGTTTTTGGTAGAAAATTCGTTATATTTCGAGTGGAAACGCTTTAGAAAAGTCCGCAAAAAATCGAGCCACGGGAATTTTGGACGAAAATCGACTTTTTTCGTAGAAAAAACTATTTATTTGTTTTTGAAAAAGTGGATTTTAACTAGTAAAAATTTTGAAATCAACTAATAGTAAAGTAAGCGGAGAAAAACGCCAATTTTGCAGGTCGTGACGATCTCCAGATGTGCGAGTTGCCGCTCGACCAGACGCCGTTGCCGCTGAAAAAGGTGAGCAGGGGTAGCCAGCAGAGATAATTTGAGCGAATTACATGGCGTAATCGATTTTCAGTGTCTCTCTCTCTCTCTCTCTCCCTCCCTCTCTCTCGCTCTCTCTCTCTCTTTCTCTCTCTCTCTCACTCTCTCTCTCTCTCTCTCTCGACCTCTTTCTCTCTCTCTCTCTCTCTCTCTCTCTCTCTCTCCCTCTCTCTCTCTCTCTCTCTCTCTCTCTCTCTCTCTCTCTCTATCTTTTCTCTTTCTGTCACTCTCGCTCACTCCCTCTCTCTCAGTTTCTCGCTCCCTCTTTCTCTCTCTCTCTCTCTCATTCTCTCTCTCTCTCTCTCTCCGTCTCTCTCGCCTCCTCCTCGAATACCACAGTTTATTCGAATACGCCATATAATTCTGGAAACCGAACACCGATCGATTACGCTGGATACTTTCCCATCTGTTGGCTTCATGGAAAACCTTTTTTCAGGGCGCCGAGATCCTTGAGCACGAGTTCGAGACGGTATGGGCACATCTAGGGGGACAGCCGATGCCACGATGGAATCCGTAGAAACCGAGAAACGCGATGAATACCCACACATCTATCGTTCTGTGATATATTCTGTAGTATTTACCGTGTAAGATAAAGTGTCTTTGTAAAAAATTGCAGACAGAGGAAGAGAGAGAGAGGTAGACAATGGGAGAGAGAGACAGACAGAGAGCGTGACATAGATATGGAGCGAGAGAGACAGAGAGAGTGAGAGAGACAGATATATAGAGAGCGAGAGAGAAAGAGAGAGAGGGAGAGCGAGAGAGACAGACAGAGAGCGTGAGAGAGATATCGAGCGAGAGAGAGTGAAGGAGAGAGAGATAGAGAGACAAACAGAGAGAGATCGACAAATCCATGACCTAGATAACCCTAGCCTAGCCTGTCTCAACTGGCGTAAGCGATTAAAATTACGAACCCAGAAAATGCCAAAGTTTTTCGAAATGCTCACTGCAAAAATCCCCGAATCGATCGACCACCAATCACTTTATTCATCATCGCGAAAGCACACAACATGCAACACGGCCCAAAACAACCGAAAAGTGAAAAACACGCGCCAAAAACAGCGCATTTGCATCGTCAAAGTGAGCAACTGTGGAAAAGTGTGGCGGAAAAGTGAGGAACGTACACGCAAAAAAAACTGACAATTTTGTAATTAAAACTGTAAAGTAATATTGCATTGAAAAAGTGGGCAAAATCGGTGCAAAATAGAGCGACACAAACTGGATGGATTATTTGGAGGCAGGGTGGTCGAGGATCGCGTCAATGATTTCGTCCTTTTTCTTGGCTTTGCTGAAAAAAACAGATAAATTAATTAGCAGGGATTCCGTAAAAATTTCTGCTAGCCTGCCTCGAATTTCCACACATTTCTTCTGCTAGATTGCCCTCAATTTTCCAAAATTGCCTTTGCAAGTCTGCCCTCAATTTTCCGCAATCGTCTCTGCTAGCCGACCCCGATTCGCAAAAATCTCGGCTCGCTTGCCCCTCGCCCGATTCTACAAATCGCCTCTGCCAGCCTTCCTAGAATTTCTATAGATGGTCTCGGCTAGCCTGACCCAGACTCCTCAAATTTCCGCAAATCACCTCTGCTACTCCGGCCCTCAAATTCCCCAAACTTCACTGCTAGCCTGCCCTGAAATTTCAGAAATTCCCCAATCGTCTCTGCTAGCCGGCGCTCGAATTTCCGCAAATGGTCTCTGCTAATGCGCGCCGTCTACTTCAAAATCCGCTAGCTCGCCCCGGAAAACCTAAATTCTCCCTGCTAGCCTGCCCTAATTTCAGAAAAAAAAAACGAACCCGATATTGACGTTCATCTGCGCGGCTTTTTCCTTCAAATTGGCGACAGTCATCTTCATCAAAACAGATCGACTCGGCAATTCTTTATCAGTCTCCTTGAATTCGTCCTCATCATCCACATCATCTTCCATTTTCACACCTCGTCCTCGTTTCTTTCCAGCCGCAGCTTCATCTGAAAATCACACAAATTAGCTGACTAGCAGAGATTTTTGGGGCATTTCGGGGTGTCTAGCAGAGATCTTTGCGGAAAATCAGGGTCAACGAACAGTGATTTTTTTGAGGATTTCGAGGGAAACTAGCAGAGATTCTTGGCGAAAACCAGGGCTAGCTAGCCGAGACGACTTAGGAATGGGAGGGGGGGCAAACTAGCGAAGATTATTGTGGAAAACCCTGGCTAACTGGCAGTCTTTTTGGGGAATTCCGAGGTGGTTAGGAGGGATCAATTGGGAAAACCCAGGGCGAGCAGTGTTCGGAAAGTGGTCGTTGAGACGTCACTAGGCCTACTATATGACCAAACAAAGCAGTGAGTAAAGCAAGCAGTGTCAGCATGATCAATTAACAAGCCAGAGGAAGAGAAAGCGAGAGAGAGAGAGAGAGAGAGAGAGAGAGAGAGAGAGAGGCGGAGAGAGATGAGCGAGACAGAGAAAGAGAGAGAGAGATAGAGAGAGAGAGAGAAAGACAGATAGGGAGCGAGAAAGACGGTTTTTGCGCAGTTTTTCGCGTTTTACTCCTAAATCCCGTTGCCGGTTTAAAAAGCAATGTATTACAGAAATGTGCGCCTAACACGATTGCATCCGAATCCGAAAAAATGGAGGTGGGTCATCCGACTCGATTTCGAGCTACGAGCAATTTTCCAAAAAAATAACCACTTTTTCCCAGTTTTTCGCCTTTTTCTCCTAAATCCCTTCGCCCGCTTCAAAAGCAATCTATTACAAAAATGTGTGCCAAACCCTTCTACATTATAATCCGTAAAAAAGGAGGTGGGTCATCGGACTCGTTTTCGAGATCCTAGGACCTCCGTGTTCAGAAATGGTAAATTTTGCGGTTTTTCCCCTCTAACTTTTTTTACTGCCACTATTAGCTTTTAAAATCTATTACCGAAATGTAGAGCAGAAAATTCTGCGTCGAATGATATCCTGGACGTTAAAATTAAACCCAAATTTAAAGTGGTTCCAGGACCTCCAAAGTGGCGACGCCTGAAAATCGCTCCGCGACGCAACCTCTGTCTTCGTTTTTCAACACCGCATATCTCAGCCGTCATTCTACCGTTTCTCAAAATTTTTCCACCAGTCTGTAGCCCGCAGTCTAGTCTACAATTCTTCTATACATTGCAACCCTCCATCACCTTTCCTTCAGGTCAAAAAATCGAAAAAACCGCGCCGAGGTTATGTTTTGGGCCCCTTTTTCACCCCAAATTTGGCCTGTTTTTTCGCACCTTTTCCCCGATTTCTCTGCCCTCCCAAGAGTTAGCAAGATGATCGACCCCTCATTTTATAGCAAAACCCTTTCTCTTTCTGCTCACCAAATATGAAACCGTCCCATGCTCCGCTTCAAGCCTAAATCCGGTCCCGTTTAGGTGATGTCGCCGATCGGTGCACATCAATCATGGCCCTTTTCTCTATTTCCTTGCTTCCAAATCGGCCTATACCTTCTCCCCTTCCATCTACCAGTCACTTCTCTCTTTTTTAGCGCTTTCCCTCCGGCACTTTCTCCTTTTTAGCCTTTTACTTGCTTTTCCCTCAGACTTCACTCCAGTCGCGCGCCTGTCTGACCCCCCTTGTCGCCTATTCCGCGCCCCCGTCACCACACCCAAGCCCTCCCCACAATCTCTCGACCCTCCCCCCATCCCCACTCTATCACCTCTTGCGCTGCTTCTATTCCCATGTCGTGCATTTCCCCCAGAAAGATTCGAGAACTTTTTTCAAATTACTTTATCAACAATCAAACAAAACAAAGCGATACAATATTTCCGGGCTATCCTCTTCCAGTTTCTTCTTTTCCGGTCAGCATTGGGTACTTGATGTCCTCGACGCCGAGCTTCCGGGTTTCGTCGGCCTCGCGTCCAGCTCCTTCTTCGATTCGAATCTCCATCTCACGAGTTCTCAGCTTGTACTGCCTGTAACAAATTCGTTTCTAGGCCCAGGATAAAATCCATACCAAAACTGGGTAAGAATATATTTTATGAAGCCAGTCACGATCATCAGACTTCCCAGCACCAGATATATCGCGTACGGGTCCATTGTCGGCTTTTGGCACGGCGGGTCGGCTATGGCGCACGAAGGTAGTTCCGACATGTACCTGTAAATGAACTTTTCATTCCTCCGCCCCTCTGCTAGGTGTCATTCCCCGGCCGTATTTCGTTTTTATCCGTACGCCTGGCGCCAAATTCAAATTTTGGCCCTCATTTCCGCCGTTTTTCCCTTTTTTTAGGACCTCCGGACCCTTTTCCCCTTTAGGACCTCCGGGCCCCAGCCCGCGACATCTGGTTACCGAACACTGAGGGCGAGCTAGCAGAGATTACTGTGGAAAATCGGGGGCAACCTGGCAGTGGACATTGAGGAATTTAGGGCAAGCCTGCAGTGCTTCTTGGAGAAACGAAGGCGAGCTAGCAAAGATCATTTAGGAATTTGAGGGTAGCTAGCAAAAATCCATGAGGAAAATGGACGCAAACTTGCAGAGATTATCACGGAATATCCTGGCCAACTGGCAGTGATTTTTGGGGAACTTCCGGGTCAAATCGCGCAAATATTTTTTTTGCGGAAAATCGAGCAAAAAGGCAGCAAGTTCTAAGACATTTTAAGAAATTTCAGAGATTCTTAGGGAAGCAGGGCAAACCAGCAAAAAGCATTGTGGAAAAAGAAACAAGCAGAGAGTTTTGCGGAAACCCTGGCTAGCTAGCAGTGATTTTTGGGGAATTTCGGTGGGCTGGCCAGCGGAGATTTTTGAGGTTGCGCCTGCAAAAGAAACGAACCTTTCTTAGCAGTTGCCCGCTTCGCGGTTGTCGCTTTTGGGTCGAGCTCTGAAATTCAAACAAATTCAACCAATCAATAATCCAAAAAATACCGTAAGTGCCCGTCAATTTGCCCATTTCATCGGCCGCTTCAGTCGCTTTTCCCGCCCTCGATGTCGGCATTGCGTCGTTGTCGAACCACGGTTCTGCAAAATCATGGAAAATATCGATTATTCGGAAGGCTACAAACTACAAAACGCTAAAATAAGATTATTAACTACGCTATAGGCCACAAACACAAATTTTTTAGACATTAGACAGTTAGACTACAAGCTACAACCCGTAAAAATAACATTTTGCGAGGCAATAGACTACTAGACTCTTTAGGAGGAGAACTAGCTGGGGGCGAAGAAAAGAGCGTATCGAAACGTACTGATGTGATCCCATTTGGTTCGCATGGCCTCCGTCCATTCTTCGGTCTCGTTGTCCGGGGTATCCAGGTTGGCCTCTCGTGTCATCATCGTGTAGAAGGCTTGCAGATCTGAAAATGCAGATCGGGAAGTGAACGTCAAAAAAAATCGGGTTTCGTTCAAAATGCCGAAATTCCCTAATGCCAATTTTTTTTGCATAGGATTTGGGCGGTTTGCCGGGAAAATTAATTTCGACATTTTGAACGGAAAAAAAAAACAGAAAAGAAAAACATACGTGGATTCGGAGGACATGCAGTTGTGGTGAGGTGTTTCTTCAGGAGCGCCGTGCGCAGCGTCTTTGCCGT